GGATGGAAGAGACACTATCAGGTACAGGCCTAGCTCTGGAGTCCGTGGCTTGGCACTGCCATGTGAATCTGACAGGTGGTGGGGAGTTCTGTGCAGCTGGACCGTGGGTCCGAGCAGCTGGTGGTGAGGCAGAGACCATCTGAGGACCAGGCTGTGCCCCCAGCTCTGCCCCTGTCTGGCACATGCAACGGTATCTCCAGGTGAATGAGGCTGCCAGGCAGACACGCTGGGCTCCACAGTGCTGAGGGGCACCTGGCAGAGCACAGAGGGGGGCCTTCACCAAGAGCAACTGGTCAGGAAGCAGGGTCCCTGACCGTGCAGCTGGGATCTCCTAACCCACAGGAGTGTCTCAGTAGACAAGCGAGCACCAGCTCTAAGAATACTCGTGCCGGGATGGGGTCCTGCTCGGGCTGCATCTCGATGGAAGAAGTTTCCCCGGTGTGTTTCGAGGATTTCAGCTCCCGGTGGGGTCACCAGGATGAGTTCTGTGGGGAATGGGGTGTGAGACACAGGAGGAGAATGGGCCCCTCTGGGTCTGGTCCTGCCAGGTATGCTGACTTTCACAGGGAGATTCCAGGGGCAGCCACAGCAGCTGCGGGAACCTGTCAGAGTTTCTCACGGTACTTCAAGGCAGCTCTGGCTGTGTGTCCCCCCGGCGCCTGACCACCACTGCCCACTCCTGCCACCGCACTGCCTTGGGCTGTGTCTTTTCTGAGATTTTTCTTTGTCCTCTGCCTTTCAGCTCTGTTCCTTACAAATCCCATCAGCATCGGTCTTTTTTGTTTTTCTTTTTGGGTCATACCCGGCGATGCTCAGGGGTTACTCCTGGCTTATGCACTCAGGAATTACTCCTGGCGGTGCTTGGGGGACACTATGGGATGCTGGGAATTGAACCCGGGTCAGCTGCATACAAGGTAAATGCCCTACCCGCTGTGCTATCACTCCAACCCTACATCAGTCTTTTAAGAAATGTAATTGATTGAGATTCTGTGGCTTATAATGCTACTAATAATGGTTTCTCACCCCATAATGCCACACCTACCTGCAGTATACCCACCTGCCTCTTCCAAGGACCTCAATACCCCTCCATCCTGACACAAATTCCCAACTCAGTGGTGTGGATGGGGTCTCCCATTGTGTTGCCTTTAGCCCTTTGTTGCCTCCTTGCTGTGTATCTTCCAGTCCCATGATGAGAGGGATTATTCTGTGTCTGTCCCCTCCTGACTGACTTCACTCAGCACAATATCCTCTAGCTCCACCCATGTTGCTGCAAATCTTATGATTTTGTTCTTTCTTAGAACTGCATAGTATTCCACCATATATATAGACCACGACCCCTTGATCCCTTCATCCATAGTTGGACATTTGGATTGTCCCATATCTCGGTTATTGTACCAAGTGTGGCAACAAACATAGGTTTGCATAAGTCCTTTCAAATTAACATCTTTATGCATCAGAAAGTGGTGGCATTCCCTCCCGTATAGGAAACAGCACCCTTTGCAGCTTCAGTCCCTGACACAGAACACCACTGAGATCGTTCCCCTGAGCCCTGCACTTAGGGCTCCGGAGGGCAGACGGAGGGTCTGGGCTGTGGTTTGGGTGCCACTGTGAGCAGGGGGAGCCTCAGCCCCTCTCTCTCCTCCCCCCCCTTCCCTGCAGGGGACTCCCTCAGGGAGCACAGCTGGAGAAGGGAGCCCCATCTCATCTATTTCCAGATTCTTGTTCTCCCAGGTGGAAACCCTTTAATTATTCACGCCCGGATCAGCTGGTGCCCGATGCATTAACCTCTGTCACTTGAGTGGAGTCGGGCTAATAACACGGCAGCATTGATTTCTCCTCAGTCCATCCCCAGGGAGAGGCCCTGGGGCTCGTCCTCTGAGTGGGGGGCGGGAGCCTGGGGAAGCCCTGAGTGTCCCTGAGGACAGTGTGCACGGCTCCTCCTGCTGCTCTCCACTGCCTCAGAGGAGATGTGGGCAAGGACGAACGCTTTCTAGAGGCAGCTCCCCGGAGGAAGGGGATGGTCGGCCCGAGAGCCCGCATGGCCTTCCAGCCAGCAGACAGAAACCATTCCTGGAGACCAGGAGCAGAGATGGGTCCCCAGGAGGCAGAGAGAGGGTGTCCCAGCTAGACGGGGTCCCAGGAGGTGGGAGAGGGTGTCCTGGCTAGATGGGGCCCCAGGAGACAGGGGGAGGGTATCCTGGCTGGATGGAGCCCCAGGAGGCAGGGAGAGGGTGTTCCTGCTGGGCCAGGCCCCTGGAGGTGAAGAGAGAGTGTCCAGGCTAGGCTGGGTCCCCGGAGGCAGAGAGAGGGTGGCCAGCTTAACTGGACTCCTGGAGTGCCAGATGCTGCAGGGGAAGTTGTGGAGAGTAGGGGGGTTTCCTTCCCTCATGCCCCTCCCCTGCCACCTTAGTGGGCACAAGCCCGAGGAGCTGTCTCCTCTGGCCAGAGTGATGACCTCTCTGGAGCTGGATGAGGCAGGTGAATGCAGAAGAGGCGTGAGGAAGGGAGAGGCCGGCAGGAGGCTGCAGAAGCCAGGGTGGCACTGTGATGCCCAGAAGGGTCCTCTCAACTCTCCCCTAGTCACACAGGGCCCAGGCAGCCCCGCCCTCACCCAGCTGCAGCTCCCCACAGAAAGGGGGACAACCGAATCTGAGGGCCAGCGCAGACTCTGCTCGGGGGTCAGGGGCCTCTGTGCAGGGGCCAGTGAGGTCTCCAAGGATGGGGTTGGGGAGGTGGAATTTGTTCATGCACTTTTATACACACACACACACACACACACACACACACACACAAAACCACTCACATATACACTTGCATACATACATATATATTCGTACACAAGCTTATGTACACTCACACATGCTCTCTCTCTCACACACACACATACAACCACTCACATATATACTTGTACAACATATATTCGTATTTACACACACTCACACATGCTCTCTCTCTCTCTCTCTCTCTCTCTCTCTCTCTCTCTCTCTCACACACACGCACACACACACACACACACACACACACACACACGCGCCCCAACTCTGCTTACTGAGCAGAAACACCAAAGTCACCTTCCGTCCAAACGGATTTTCCGAGTTCACGGTGCGGGCTCCTTCCCATCTCAGATAGAGGGAAACCTTATTAATCATTAATTTGGACCCCCATGGTTACAAGGGACTGGTGGCAGCTTGTTTGTCTTCGCAGGAACTGCTAAGGAATCGACTAGTGGAGAGGCTGTTCTGGATGGGGCCGCTTCCCCTCCAGGCAACACTAGGCTCCATCTTCCTCCCGTGCAGCAGGGGGGCCGGGGAGCACCACTTCCTTGTCCTCCGTGGAGAGGCTCCCTCACGTAGAAACTTGGGCCCAGCCCACTGGCTCTGCAACCGTTTTAAAGCCCAGGGACCCTATTCCAATGCCCCACTCACGGATTAGAGCATGCTTTGTGTCATTCTGTTCCTTTGGGAGAGTGGCTGGTTCCAGGGAGAGGGACGTCTGTGATTACATCTCTGTGCAGGCCCAGTAAGCTCTGCGGATGGTGCTCCATGTTGGGCTCCTCTGCCCGTAGCTTCATGCCCTGGGCCTCAGGCAGCAGCACCGGCATTCTCTGGGCTCCGGGCCTGCGTTCAGGGGCCTTTGCCCCATAGTTATCTCGGTGGTTCTCGTCTCAGGAGCTCTTGGCTGGGGGATCCTCAGCAGAGGGGACAGGGGTGGCATCTGGTGGCATTCAGGGGCCTGAAGCAAAGATACTCAGTCTGCATTAAAGCCCAGAGACTGCCCAAGCCCTTCACTGCAGGTGGGCAATTTGTGGAGCGAATCAGTCTGGGTTGACTGCATCTATCTGGTGTGGCTAAATCTATTTGGGGTAGCCGCATCTATCTGGGTTGACCACAATCTATCTGGAGTGAGTGCATCTATTTGAAGTGACCACATATATCTGGGATGACTACATATATCTGGAGTGACTACATCTATCTGGGGTCACTGCGTCTAGGGGAACCTGCATCTATCCGGGGTAGCTGCATCTATCTGGGATGGCCGCATCTATCTGGTGACTGCATCTATCTGGGGTGACTGCATCTATCTTGGGTGACTGCATCTCTCTGGGAGACTTGCATCCATCTGGGGTGACTCATATCTATCTGGGATAGCTGCATCTATCTGGGGTGACTGCATCTATTTGGGTTGGCTGCATCTGTCTGAGGTGGCTGCATCTGTCTGGGGTGACTACATCTATCTGGGGTGACTCACATCTATCTGGGGTAACTGCATCTATCTGGGGTATCTGCATCTATCTGGGGTGACAGCATCTATTTGGTTTGGCTGCATCTATCTGAAGTGGCTGCATCTATCTGGGGTGACTGCATCTATCTGGGGTGACTGCATCTATCTGGGGTGATTGCATCTATCTGAGGTAGCTGCATCTCTCTGGGGGACTTGCATCCATCTGGGGTGACCACATCTATCTGGGGTGACTCACATCCATCTGGGGTAGCTGCATCTATGTGATTGCATCTATCTGTGGTTACTGCATCTATTTGGGTTGGCTGCATCTCTCTGAGGTGGCTGCATCTATCTGGGGTGACTGCATCTATCTGATACTTGTGGCCCAGAGGAGCAGGGGGCAGGCTGAGAGGGGGGAAGTTCCTGAAGGTTTTCTCAGCTCACCCCCCTCCCCCAGGCCACATCTGCTTCTTCCCTCTCTCCTCTCCTGGCCAGAGGGGTGGGAGCCCTGGGGACCCAGGAGAAGGGGTTAGAGGAAAGTCACCCTCAAGGAACCAGGATTAGGGCAGGACCAAGGTGGGCTCCAGGTTATGAGAGCCCCCGAGATTAGTGCCAGGGGCTGTGCATGTGGGTGTCTTTCTGGGGGACGTCTCCCCTCCTGTTAGATTCACCAAGAGGCAGAGCCAGCTCATTCGCAGAGCCTGGCGGGGGAGCAGAGCTTGTGGTGACCGATGCCCCCCTCCAGCTGGGCCTGACCTGCCTCCTTTCTCTCCTCACAGGCCTGGGATGGCGCTGTCGCTCACGGGGCTCCTGGCCTTCGCCCTCCTGCCTGCTGCCCTCCCCCTGAACCCAGAGGACCCCAATGTGTGCAGCCACTGGGAGAGGTGAGAGGCGGGCCCTGGGGGCAGGAGGAGGCTGGCACCTGCTGCCCTGCAGGAAGGGTGGGGTGCTGGGTGACAGGGTGTGTTGCTGAGATGCCTGACATTGTCCACAGCCCTGCTTCTGCCCGCGTGGCACAGGTGTGGGGGCAGAGGCACAGGGGCCCCAGTGGTGCCCCCATCCCTGGGAGTGTGTGGTCCTGGGACTCAGGGCTGCTGTGCCCACTCTGCTGTGTCCCCTTCCTGCTCAAGGAAGGAGGATGGGAGGTGGGTGATGGGAGGAGGGAGGAGGAAGAGGGAAGGGGGAGGAGGGGGATTGAAGGTGGAGGAGGGGGACTGAAGCGGGAGGAGGAGTAGGAGGGACAGGAAGACCCTAGGTGGGAAGTCGAGGCAGCTGGGCACTCCCCCGGGGAGGAGAGAGCGGGGCCTCCCGCGCTCTGACGGGGGCCCTCGGACTCGGGGAACGTGTTCAGGTCCCTGACTTTGAAGCCCAAGGTGAAAGTATTGATTCTGGTGAGCAGAAGGACAGTGACCAGAGACGCAATCAGGAAAAACTGAATTAAAGCCTGGAATTGATTGGCCGCACTGACCGGGCCGACTCTGCCACTTAGATGCTAATAAATCAAACAAATCAGATTGAGATGAGGGCTGGGGGGCCGTGGGTGAGGGTAGGTGGGGGTTAGGAGCTCCTGGCTGTTCCAGAGTGTGTGTGTGGGGGGGTGCGCCCCAGCCCAGGCCTCGGCACAGAACTGTGAGTGCAAGATTGGAGCGGGACGAGAAGGAAGAGAGAAGCCGGGTCTCCTCAACCCGGATCTGGCCCCTGCGTGACCTAGGGAAGTCTCCAAGCCCCCGTGCCTGCGTCCCTCTCCGTGAGGTGGGCGTGCTGGCCCTGGCCCTGCCTCCCATGCCTGCAGGAGCACCTGAACTAGTTTTCATGCCACACCCAGTGATGCTCAGGGCTCACTCCTGGCTCTGTGCTCAGGGTCACTCCTGGCTCTGTGCTCAGGTCTCACTCCTGGCTCTGTGCTCGGGGCTCACTCCTGACTCTGTGCTCAGGGATCACTCCTGGCAGTGCTCCGGGACTATATGGGAAGCTGGCGATCTAATCCAAGTTGGCTGCGTGCAAGGCAAGCACCTACTCCCGTAGTCTTTCTCCAGCCCCTTCTGCCTCCTTCTTTCTTTCTTTCTTTCTTTCTTTCTTTCTTTCTTTCTTTCTTCCTTTCTTTCTTAATTTTTAAAATTTTACAGCACCGTGATTTACAAAGTGATTCCTGACTGAGCCTCAGACATGCACGGTGGCCTATTGTGCCGTCCCCTGTGTCTGCGTCCCCTTCCTGGTGTCTCAGCTCTGCATAAAGCAGCTCTCATGCCTCTCCCGTGTGCCAGCCAGCTCCAGGCATGTCTGGTCCTCTCCCAGAGAGGCTGGACCCTCGGGTCAGGGTGGCCTGGGACAGTCTAAACTCACTCGGATCCTTGCCCTTCTGGGTACGTTTGACCCTTTATTTCCCAGTGGGGAGGGGAGAGAGAGAGAGAGAGAGAGAGAGAGAGAGAGAGAGAGAGAGAGAGAGAGAGAGACAGAGAGAGAGAGAGAGAGAGAGAGAGAGGAGAGAGAAACAGAGAGACAGAGACTGAGAAGGCAGGTGGGATTTCACATCCCATTTGTCTCTGGTGTGCAGGCCCTGGCCTCGGTGGTCCCCTTTGTACTCCAAAGCTCCCCAAAGCCTCCCTGTTGTTTGCTCACCACGTCCTCCATCTCCAGGAAGCCCTCCCTGAGAGTACAGCACACCTCAGAGCCCCCCTGCCCTTCCTCCTTCACCTTCTCTTCCCCCATGGGGCTGTAAGCCATGCTCCTGAGTGTCCCCAGCCCAGCAGGAATCAGTGTGGAATGAGGCGGCACAGAGTGGGCATTACAGGCTGGCTCTGCTGTCACCCAGGGCACAGATTAGATAGGGTAGTGAGCGACCCCAGGGACTGGAACGAGCCCCACCTGGCTTCAGTGCCTTAGCTTTTACTTTGTTTAGTTTGGGGCACATCTGGCAGTGCTCAGGGCTCACTCCTGACTCTGCCTGCAGAGATCACTCCTGACTCCAGAGACCTAATGGGATGTTGGGAATTGAACCCGGGTTGGGCGCGTGCAAGGCCAGCGAACTCCCCTCTGTGCTGTCGTCTTTCCAGCCTGATTCCTTGGTGTTTACCGTGAGCTCTGCCAGAAGCTTCATGGCCATGGATCTGGCCCCATCACGTCAGGAGTTCGGTCTCCGGGGTCCACTCAGGAGGCTAGGGGAAGGCGTGTTTCCAGAGTGCAACCCGTTAATTTGGTCCTTCCGCCATCCTAGCCAGTGGGCTAGTAAACCCCATCAGAAGATTAGTCTGGCTTCTCATTAGCATGCTGGCAAGCGAGCGTGTCAACTCGCCCAGCCGTGAAGCCAGGGCCCGCTCTCCTGGGAGACTTGAAGTGGGTTCAGAGTCTGGGTACCAGATGCCGCAGTTCAGGGACCCCCAGCAGAGCTGAGGCTGCCCCCATCATACCTTCCCAGCCCCTCCCCTGGCAGGTGCCTTTGCACCAGGCACTCACTACCAATCAGGCTGGGTGAGTGTCTGGGTGACACACAGTCCTGAGCACTGAATAAAGAGGGGGAATCTTTTCTAGATGCAAAGAAAAGTCTGCATCCCCAACTCCCACCAAGGTGAGGGAACCTCCATGGGTGCCTCACAAGGGAGGGAGCCCACACAGATGAGGAGGTGGGTGTGTCTCCTGAACTCCCCCTGGGCACCGCTAGGCATACCCGAGGGTTCCTGCTGCAAAACCCTCATCGCCCTGGCCTGGGGTTCTATGGCTGCCCCTGAGTCCTCCATGAGGTCGAGGGGTCACTCAGCACAGACCTCGGTGAGGAACGCAGATTTCTCAGCTGTGCATACGTGTGTGTCAGGCTGTGCTGCTCACACCTCGCCACTTGCCATTGTGCTTGGCTGTAAGCCCGTCTGACATCCAGAATGTAGGCACAGGATTTTGGTGGTGGAGGAGGTCTCTGTGAAGCGTGGGCGGATGGCCAGTGCCCTCGCTTCCTTATGCCCGGGGCTGTAGCAGGTGTCTGGACTGCCCCTGCAGAGACACGCATCTCTGAGACCCGTCTCTGGCCCTGGGATGGGAGAGTCTTCCGGGCTCTGCCTCCCAGCCTCTGCTTCCCACTAAGCCAGATTCCCACCCAGCCTGTGCACCACACCCCCTACCCCCACCCCTACCCCCACCGGCTGCTCCCACCAACTCTTTCCAATCCTAGACTTCAGGCCTTTGAGGCCTTCCAGACTCTGCTTGGGCATCCGCCCTGCCCCACCTCCTTGCAAGTCAATTGTCCATTTTCCCGGCAAAGCAGATGGGCTTTTTTACAGCCTGGACCTGACCATCTGGCCCAGGTCAGCGAGCCTCCAGGGAAGCTCTGAGTAAACCAGACTGCACAGATGAATTCTGGATGGCTCCGTTGAGGGCCCCTCCCAGCTCACATAGGTGGGTGGGCGCGCTCTGTGTCCTGGCGTAGGTGGGTGGGTGGGCTCTGCTTCCTCTCCTGCTCCCCTCTGTGTGGAACTCCTTCCAGGCTGGAAGGGACACTGTGGGTTTGGGGGAGGCTGGGGGTAGCTCCCCATCAGAAACCTGGTGGGAGGGGCTCATCCTCCACTCCCCTGCCCGTCACCCTGACAGAGAGCAGAGGGGAGGTCTCCAGGAGGTCCTGTGTCCTTTCTGATGCAGTTTCCTCATCTGTAGAATGAAGGTATCCACGAACCCACCCTGTATGCTTGTGGGAGCATCCAAAGGAGTTAAAATACACAATACAAGGTGTTTGGTGCACCTGTTGGCAGTTATTGGAGCCAGTCCTGTTACCTGGGTCAGCCACTTGTTTCTGGGCCTCCAAGTCATCATCTGTGAAGTGGAACCACTTACCTTGTCAAACTCTTGCCCAGACCAGCCTTCATCCCTGTGCTTTGAAAACCTTCAAGATCCTGGGGCTGGGCAATATAGCACAGTGGGTAGGGCATTTGCTTTGCACGCGACCGACTTGGGTTCGATTCCCAGCATCCCATATGGTCTCCCGAGCACCACCAGGAGTAATTCCTGAGTGCATGAGCCAGGAGTAAACCCTCAGCATCACCGGGTGTGACCCCCCCAAAAAGCAAAAAAACAAAACAAAGCAAAACAAAAACCCTTCAAGATCCGAGCAGACGGGCTGGAGCTAAAGACCAGAACTAGGGCATGTATAAGGGGAGCGCCCTGCTCACTGTAGTATCTCCAGCCCACTGTCAACCTTTAAAAGAAATCACCTGTCACCCCCCAGGATGGTTCCAGCACCCCCAGTGTGGTGGCGGGGGGCAGGGTGGTGAGGGGCGCCTGGAGCTTTGGGCGCTGAGGGCAGGGGTAAGGGGAGATTCCGGGCCCAGATCGGCTCAGCTGACCCTTGTGGCCTCTCGCAGCTACGCGGTGACTGTGCAGGAGTCCTACGCGCACCCCTTCGACCAGATCTACTACACGCGCTGCACCGACATCCTCAACTGGTTCAAGTGCACCCGCCACCGGTGAGTGCTTCCGGGAGGAGGTGGCATGGGGCGGGCCTTGTGCATGCATCAATCAAAAGCTGGGGGTGCAGGTAGTTGAGCTAGTGCCCTGTGAGGGTCTCCCGGGAATAGAGTCTTCACACTGCATCCCCAGAGGCTGGGCCACAGGCTGTGGGAGCTTGTGTGCGAAGCTGTTAGCCTGCCAGAGAGCACCCTGCCCTCAGCTGCACCCCATCCCTGGGCCCGGGGGAGCTGGAAACATCCGGCTTCTTCAGTCTTGGGGAAGGGGGCCACTCTGGGCAGTAGGGATGGACGGCAGCCCAGGGCGGTGAACTGCCCGCAAGGATGCTGTGTGCCAACCCCACTCCCTTCCTTCCTGGGCCTTCTTTCTCAGCCCCCCTCACCCCATCATCTGCTTGTCTTGTGATCCGTACCTCAGAGGCTGCTTCTGGGGACCTCGTGAGAGCAGATGGCTCAGAGAAAGAGCGCTGACCCTTGCGGGACTGCCACTTCCTCCTCTGTGGCGCTCCCGAGCAAATCCCCTCCAACCTTCCTGGCCCAAGGGAGAGAGGAGAGGAGGGAAGGAGAATGTGTTGGAACTGGATGACTCCAGGCCAGCGCTTGATTCCAGCATTCCCAGTATCTGCTTTGGAAACGGCCATCCCTGGTTTTTCTGAAGTCAGGGGTAGACAAATGCTTCAGGAGCTCCCGGGGCCCATAGAGGAGAGGCAGAGGTCTTAAGCCTAAGCAAAGTGGCATTGTTATTTGAGAGATGAGAGGGAGGGAAGGAGGGAGATGGGTTGGAGCTCTCCCCTGGGCTTGGGGCCTCAAGTTGGTTCCAGGTTTCTCTGCTCTCTCCGTGTGGGTCTCTGCAGAGTGTGTGGCTGGGGAATTCACTCCGTGCCCAAAGGCCAGACTCCTGAATTTCTCCGGGGTTTCTCTGCTCGCTTGCTCAGCAAGCACAGATAGACGAGCTGCTGGAAAACCCTAGTCAGCTCCTTCCAGCATCTGGGTCACCTCAAGGTTGGGTTTCATTGATCGTCTCTTCTCCGAGCTAGGTCCTGTCCTCTGGTCATTCTGTATGCCTAGGCATTTCCCTGGGGGCCAGGAGAGACAGCGCAGGCTGGACCAGGTGCCATTCCTCCTGGTACTCCCCGCTCCGGGTTTCAGTTTGATCATTTGAAAGGCCAGCTCTCTCTGCCCGGCTCTGAATGTTCAGTCTTTGTCTAATTGGGTATCTCGGGGGTTTGTTTTGTTTTGTTTTTGTTTGGGGGCTACACCCAGTGGATACTCAGGGGTTATACCTGGCTCTGCACTCAGGAATCACTCCTGGTGGTACTAGGGGGACCATTGAATTGGGGTCAGCCACATGCAAGGCAAGTGCCCTCCCTGCTATTCTAGTGCTCCAGCCACTTAGTTGGAATCTACCTTCCTCCACATGCTTAATCCAGGGGCCAGACTGTTATAAGGAGGTTCAGGGGTCCGAACATTAGGCCTTCCACATGTGAGACGTGAGCTCTACCCTCGGGCCACATCCCTGGCCATTCCTTCCCACTTCCAGCCTCTTTCGGCTCAGTCCCATGTCCTGCGAGGGCCGGGTGCCTTCTCCCTGGCTCTCCCCTGGGGTGTCTTTGCTCCCCAGTACCACTCACCCCCCACCCCCAGTACCTGCTGACACCTTAGTTCTCCCTCTGCCCTGGGTGCTGCATTTTCTGCTTCCCCACCCGGTGGGCTTGTTACCTGCCGGAGACTGAGCCGGCAGGAGCTCCTCAGCCATGGCTGTGTCCCCTCCTCTAGTCCTTGGCGTGAAATGTGTGTGGACAGACACCCCCTCTCCTGCCCTTTTTCGCTGTGGCCAGCCCGGGGGTCTCTTACTGTTGAGACAAGTCCTTCGCCAGAATCGTGTCTGCTCCGAGCAGCGGATGTGACCGGAGACCTGGGCCCAGTGCCTGAGTGGTCGCTTCTTGGGACCGCAGTGTCATGGAATAGGCCACACTGCAGAATGACCAAGTCGCCTTGCAGCTTTCCCAACGACCACACAGGAGCTGGTTGGCAGCCGTGCCATTGTCCTCTTGTTCTGTCCAGGGAAGGGAGTTCTGCTTGCACGTCGACCAGGTCAGATGCGAGGATGCAACTGCAAGACCCCTTTATCACTAGCTCAAGCTCGAGTCTCATCTACCACATAGAGTCTTGACAAGGACCCCGACTCCGAAATCTGAGCAGCTTATATAGGGTTTGGTTACATAATAGCATTTTTCTAGGAACTGGCAATATGTTTCTAATTCTAGTCTCTGTCAGGTCCTGTGACTTCAGGGACTAACACTATGTTTCCAATCCTTGGTCCCTGTCCTGTCCCAAGACTCCACTCCCTCGGCCCTCTCTGCTTGGCTGGGCACCGCTGCCAGGGTGATATTGTTTTCTGAGAAGTCAGGACTTTCTGATGGGGGAAACCGAGACTTAGGCCTGCCGAGTTTCGGTCTTAAAGTGGAGCCTGTTGTGGTGCACGTCAACCTCACACTCTTCACTGCTGACCAGTGCCCAGGACGCAGGTTCCTTCCCCAGGGCAGCCAGCGTCCCCTGCCCCACCCCCACACTGCCACAGCGGGGAGCAGAGACGGGAAAGACAGAGCAGGGGGCACAGCTACCGCTGTTCGGCTTTCAGCACGTGGACACCACCCTGGCTCAGCCTTCCCGGGGAGCTCACCCCTGCCCCTGTCCTGGCCCGCTGTCCTCGGCCGGGTGGCTCTTGGCGTGGAGCCTGCTTGCCTCTCATTATGTGTCTGACAAAGTACAGTACCTTTGCTCCCACACCTTTGAATATCACAGCTTCCCCTGAGTGTCATGCTGCTGCTAGTCATCGAGTGAGGGCTGTGAGGACCCATAGGGTGGGTGTCAGGATGCTCTTCCCTGAACTGGATGGTGGGCCTCTGCAGTGACTCGCAGGGGACACGCTGGTGTCACAGCCTGAGGACGTGGGCGTCAGTGTTTGCTGCTGCCATGGTCTAGGGGGGCATTTTTCCTTTCTCGGGGTTTCTGTGGGCCCCAGAGATGCTCTCCTGTGACCCCACTGTGAGGAAGGGGTTTTGCGTGCCGAGGCTCTCTCGGACGCTGTGCTCACGTGTTCCCCAGGTCTTTCCTGCCTTGCCCTCCCAGCAGAGCTGAGAACTAGCCCGTGGGAATCAGCTCTGAGATGTGAATTAAATCTAGAAACTATGAAATCAGAGCAGCCGGGTTCGAGTCCCCTTCTGAAGCTTCTTAGTTGTGCGATCTTACACAAGGTCATCACATTCTCTGAATCTCTTTATTCATCCATACAACCTGGATGAGAGAGGAGAGCCTGAAAATATGAGTTGGAACACTTTGTTTTAGCTTTTGGTGCCAGGGATGGAACCCAGGGCATCACATGTACATGGAAAGTACCCTACCACTGAATCAGCCAAGAACTGAAACTGTTAGAAAAAAAGAGAGAGAAAGAAAATAAATGGAGAGAAAAGAGAGTACAACAGGTGAAGTGCTTGCTGCATGTTCGATCTCTGGCATTATATATGGTCCTCTGAGCACTGGCCAGCAGTGATCCCTGATCCAGGAACAAGCCCTGAGCAGTTCTGAGCATGGCCTCAAAAGAAGAAGGGGAGGAAGAGGAGGAAGAGGAGGAGGAGGAGGAGGAGGAGGAGGAGGAGGAGGAGGAGGAGGAGGAGGAGGAGGAGGAGGAGGAGGAGGAGGAGGAGGAGGAGGTGCTGGAGCGATAGTACAGCAGAGAGGGTGTTTGCCTTGCACACAGTCGACCTGGGTTTGATCCCCAGCATCCCATATGGTCCCTGAAGCACTGCAGGAGTGATTCCTGAGCACAGAGCCAGGAGTAAGCTCTGAGCACCACCAGGTATGACCTAAAAGTGAAAAAGAAAAGGAAGTGGCAGCAGCAGCAAGAACCTCTGCCTGGTGGCCTGTGAGTGCCTGTGCCAACAGAAAGACATAAGCCCAGGACTCTGCATCCCAGAGTGGAGTCGCCCGGCTGCTCAGTGTGCCCAGGAGCTCCCACTGCAGGCAGCACCGACCCTCACCCTGGGACCCAGTCAGGCTCTGCTCCCGTTCTCCAGCGCTTGAATCAGCTCTAGGGGCCCTGAGTTGCCTTCTGGTTGGAGTTATTGGCTCTGGAACTCAGCACCCAGCCCCTGTCCAGGCCCCCAACGGGCACCTCCAGCCCGGAGTTCAGAGGTTCCTTTGCGGATCCTGTAGACTGTTACCCTAGAAAGCCTCTCCTCCCCCTTCTAAAGAGAAACACGTGGGGAGCAGCTTTGGGGGAGCAAATGCCCCTTAGTGGGGGGGGGGGACAGTGCTGTGGTCCCCGGGGGCCCATCGACTTTTCTTTACGTATTCCTTTGTAGGTGAAGCCGTCATGAATTTTAAAAAATTATTGAATGGCATCTTCGATAGAGCCTAACACAAATATCATTCTAATGCGCGTGATTGATTTTCAATCCTTTCAAGTGGCTCTCTCCTTGTGTCTTAGGATCAGCTATAAAACGGCATATCGGCGCGGGCTCCGGACCATGTACCGGCGGAGGTCCCAGTGCTGCCCTGGCTACTACGAGAGTGGAGACTTCTGCATCCGTACGTAGGGGCTGCCCTTATCTGGCCTCGACGGGGCTGGGAGGGGAAGCAGGGTCAGGGGAAGTGGGAAGCTATGGGCCAGGTCCTGGATGAAAGGTCCAAGGGTTTCAGAGCCTGCTCTGTTGTCAGCCCCAGGGGAATAATGCATCGGTCGCAAATATGTTAGCATAGATTTGTCCATTAGGCCCGCTTCCTAGGAGGGCGGGTGAAAGTAGGGCAGTTCTGGGCTTTGGGGATGCTTTTGGAGGGATGTGGAAGAGCACAGTGATGGGGAAGGCTGCGTGCCTGGCACTGGGATGGGTTTGCAGGAAGCACTCAAGGAGATTTTGTTAATGAAAGGAGAGATGAAATGGTAGATGAAAAGGAGGGAAGGATGGATGGATGGATGGATGGATGGATGGATGGATGCATGGATGGATGGATGCATGGATGGATGGATGGATGGATGGATGGATGGATGAATGGATGGATGGGTAGATGGGAGCTTGCTGGATGGATGAGTAGATGGTGGATGGATGGGTGGGAGGGTAGATGGATAAATAGACGGATGAGTGGGCATAAGAGATGAAGAAAGGAATACTGGACTCACTGGTAGGCGAAATCACAGACCCGACAATGAGGATGGCAAGAGTCAGACAGAGGAGGAGGGGAGGGGATTTTCAGGAAGAGAGGGGAGACTGCGGGAAAGGTGTGGCAGAAAGAGCTTGTCTTTCTCTATTTCTCTACAGCAGTTCAGAAAGTTGAAGCCATAGTGTCCCCCAGAGGTAAGGGTTCGGTAGCTGCGGACCCTGTGACTAGGGTTGGGGGGGGGCAGTGGGGGAGCAAGATGGTGCCATCGGAAACGCTGAGATGCAGAAACCCGGAGATCTGGTCCTGGTCCTCCTTCCCGGGGATGTGACTTTGAGCAAATGCCTTTGTCTCTCTTGAAGAATGAGCATAGATCCTCGTCAGTCTCCACTGTGGAGCCGGGCCAGCGTGACACTTCCTAGAGGGAATTAGAACATTCCCTCGACTGCAGGAGTGTGTTAGGGAAATGAGGGACCTCTTGTCTAATGACACAAAGGAAAATCCCTCCCCAGAAGCTTCTGCCTCCTCATTTAGAGCGACTTTCCTTGTTAACATTCTCTGTATCGCTGGGGTGGAGAGAGCCAGCTAGCACGAGGCCGAGAATTTGGGGAGAGTGGGCGTGTTGATGTTAAGAATGAAATGACAATTTTCCCGGGTTGCTGTTCCGTCTCCTGTAAGGCTGGAGAAACTCGATGCTAATTGCATTACAGGCACAAATGAAAAATGTGCCTGCGATTGGGTTCAATAGGCAGGGTTGGGCTGGAAAAATACAGAGATATCCACTCAGAATAGTCGCCAAAGGCTGTTTCTTGGGAGCAGAACCTTGCCTGGAGCTGGGGTTGACTGTCAGGGGGACTTGAGTTGAAAAGTGAGACCAGGATGAGGCTTTCCTGCCGTGCTGCCTGCCCAGAGTGGAGCGAGAGTCTGGGCAGGCTGGACGGGGACTGTCCTCTGGGTCAAGGCTCGAGGTGGGTGGGGATCATACGGGACCTGAACTGTCGCGGCTATCCAGGAATACGTGAGCCCAGGTCCTTCCTCTTCCCGCGAGGTGTTGGGAAAGCTCGTGGAAGCAGAAACACAGGGCAGAGGTGCTAAGCGTCCTGTGTGTGCGGTTCCTTTGGCCAAATGGGAAGGACAGCGGGTGGCCTCCCACCCCTGTCTGTCTAACTGTAGGGCTGTCCACCTCCAGAAAAATGAGCTGGAAAAGCCACTTTCTGAGGAGGGGCCAGGGTGGCATATGTGGCTGATATGAGGCAGAAAGGTCCGGCTTAACCTCTCTGAGCTCCCTCCCTTTACCCTTGTTATTGTCCCCTCTGGGTGCATGCCCAGGCCTGGCGCCCTCTCTCCCTGCAGGGACATCAATGCACCTCCTCAGATGCCCTTGTTTTATAACTGGGGGAACTGAGTCACAGAACAGGGGTGTCACAGGTCACCACCACACAGTTAGGACACTTCCTAGAGCCCTGGATTTGAGCTCTCAGCCCTGGGACCGGGCCCCCTCTGAGTTCGCTTCTCATGCATGGGGGGAAGAGGGACAGTGGGTCTGACGCCACCAGGCACCAGGAGGTAACAGGTGGCAGCTCCATCCCAGGGAATTCTTCCTGAGCAGTTCTTCCATCCTCTCCTTGCAAAATGCCTTTTCTGCATGTGACCCCAGGCACACCCAAACTGCGGGGCCTGAAATTTGGGAGGCTCGGGAGCCCCCAAAGGTGGTTTCTGCCGCATGCCAATATTTATTCAATCAACTTAACCCTTGTTGCTTACAATTATGTGCGTGTGTACATGTGTGTGAGTTTGTGTAGGTGTTTGGGGGTGTACATGCTTGTGTGTGTGTGCTAGTGCCTGTATATGTGTTTGCATGTGTGAGTGTGTGTGTGCATGAGTGCATACATGAGCAAGTGTATGTGTGCATGTGTGTATATGACTGTGTGTGTCTGGGTGCATGCATGAGTGTATGTGTGTATTCTTGTGTTTGCATGTGTGTGCGCATGTGTGCATGTGTGTGTATGTGTATGTATGTGGGGTGTGTGCTATGTGTGCATGTATGCGTGAGTGTGAGCATATGTATGTGTGAGTGTGCATGTTTGTGTGATGCAAATGAGAGATGAATGGAGTCCCTGGGGCACATGACCCTCTCTCTCAGAAGGCTCAGTGGGGGCCAGGAAATGCTGGGTGGGACCCTTTGGGGCCAGGGAGCGGATCCCCATGGGCCTGGAGTGGAGGCAGGGCTTCCTACAGTGGACAGATCTGGGCTGGAGAGGAACTGAGGCTGGTGGGGAGGTCTTCATTGATTTCCTGGGAAATCTTTGCCCAGAGTCCGGGGGCTTCCTTGGGGTTTGTTGCTTCTCAGGGCTGCTGGGCAGCTCTGGCTTCTCTCCTCGCTCCTGCTCCCTCTTTTACTTTGGCCCTGGAACTCCCTTCCTCTCCCCTTGGCTTGTCTGCCTCCAACCACCCCACACGTCTTTCACAGTGGCCACTCCCAGCATGTTCTGCCCCAAGGTGCAGTGGCCCTCCAATCACCGGAGGGCTATTCCCGCCTCTCTAACCCACCCCCAAGTTTTGTCTGTTTGGGGGCCACACCTGGTGGTGCTCAAAGCTTACTCATGGATGTGTGCTCATGGGTCACTCCTGGCGGGCTTGGGGAACCCTATGGGATGCTGAGGAGCAGTGTGCAAGCAAACACCTTCCCTTATGTCCTATTTCTCAGACCCTTCTTTCCCCCTTTTACAGGACACCAGTCGTGCTGGTATTTGGGCCCATGCTGTGTGATCTTACTTTAACTTGATTGTTGCCTATTTCCAAATAGGTCCCATTGTCAAGTATTTGGGGTTAGTATTTAACACTGCTGCTTTTCAGCGGGCACAATGCAACCCGTACCATGACGATGGTCTTTCTAGGACCCTCCTGTGACTGATTATTGTGAGGGAGGGCTGGGACCCTGCCAGCTCCATGGGCCACCCAGAGTCCGAGGGAGGGAGCAACAGTGGGGCAGGTGCTGAGTGCAGGGGGAGAACCTGGGAAACCTGGGGGCACCCAGTGCCTGATGCCCTGCACCCCACACCCCTACCCTTCCTCCCAGACAACCTCAGCATTGTCCAGACCCTAGTGAGGACCCTGTATGAGGTGGTAGCAAGACGTTGGCATGGCAGTAAATAGTGTGGCTGGTTGCCATCAGCTTGCTGTGCAATCTTGAGCAGGTGCCTTGGCCTCTCTCAACCCTTGGTGGCTCAGGATGGTGCATCCCTGTGCACGGAGGGAGCAGAGATGAGCCCTGCAGAGATGAGCCCTGCGGCATCCCGAAGAAGCAGGATACGCTTGTTGCTCCTCGTCGTTCCCTTGCCCTTGCCCTTGTCCCAGAATTGCTTGGAATCCTTGGTCGCCATTCTAGAATACTCTGTCCCAGAGCTGCCCCCTCTCCCTTATCTGAAGTTACTGCTGCACCCTGGCAGCTTGCAACAGTGGAGACCACTGAGCAGCCTTTCCCCTTCCTGTGGGATGGAGACCTGGGCGGCGTGGCCTCTACAGATGAAGCTGGTGTGAAGTTGTGTGTGTGTGTGTGTGTTTGTAGGGGGGTTGAGGACATCTTGGGAAACTCTTTAACAATATTAGCCTCAGAGTGGTGGACTCAGTTACGATGCTCTCACACACTCCACTCGAATTGCAGGAGCTTAAGCCATGCGGTACTGTACCCTGTCTATGTTCCATGAGCACTGTGGATGCTCTGGGCCTGCTCCTAGCTGGCCTCATCTCAGGACCGAGCCTACAGAGCAGCCACCCCAGAAACTCTTAGTGACCCCCCACTCCCACCTGTCCCAGATACTGTGTGCATGCTGTACTCCCCACTCTTCCTACTGCTATGTTCTGGACAGCCTGTGCAGGGCATTCTGGAGATGATTCCAGAATGATGGAAGGACTTGCTAATCCAGAGGACAGGCCCCAGTGGCTGTGTCTCTGATCCAGGAAATCGGGGGAAAGGGGAACTGGCATGTGACAAGGGCCCAGGGTCACTCTTGCTGGAAATTGGGGCCACCTGGGGTGAGCCTCCCAGGAAGGACACATGGGTGCAGCAGGCAGTGGACAGCACTTCTCCTTGGGCCTGAGCATTTCTTCCAGGAACACGCAGAAGACACCACAGAGTGGCCACTGAGGAGGGAAGCCCCTCTTCCCAGTTCCCTGTGACCAGGATTGTCCTGGGGGAAGTGTCCCCCAAAGTTTCAGACCTGCCTTCTTGCCCTGGGGGTTGTGGGTGCCCCTCTGCAAGTTGGTTGCCCCGAGAGCACAAAGACCAGGGCAGACAGCGGGTGTGGTACAGGGATATGGCCACTAGACTCAGGCCTGGGAAAGTCCAGGGGGCCCCCAGAAGTGGGCCTCGCTGGGGTCAGGACTGGGCATGTAATGTTCACTATTTTATTGTTGCCATTGTTGTTTGGGGG